TAATCCACTCTTTTGTTTTGAATGGAGAAACTGAGGCCTAGCTGGGGCAATGGATGCGGTCAAGTTTAGCATTTGAATTAGTCTTAATGCTCTTTCTGCTACAGCACATGGGCTTCCTTCTTCGTCTTGCGGACTCTTTTGCCTATGTCTCTACTTCTCAGTATCCTTCTTAGGATGCAATATTGAGGACATGAAAAAGAGACTGAAAGGCAAACAATCACAAGAGTTCGGGATGGCCACACCTGCTATGGGTTGGTAGATTTCGTGAGAGAGTAAATATGGAAAGAGATTGAGATTGCTGTCTAGAATGAGGTGTGTTGTCAAAAGTCAAAAGTTCTCTGAGTACATTGAAGCATTTGATAGCATAAAAATACTAAGGCTAAAAAAAAAAAAAAGGAGACTTGTCATACTGCTGTGTACGTCAACCCAGCTGAGCCCAGACTGGAATTTAAAGCATAGATATTTCTGGAGCGTGTGACATGGTATATTGGTTTCTATGAACAGGAGTTGATGGGTCCGAGGCTTTTGCCCTAAGAGCTAATGGAAGAAGGAGTTGTGTTCTAGGGCATCTGAAGATAAAGGAGGGATATGACATGGCATTCATCTCATTAGAGGCCCAACTAACTGGTTAATCCCCCAGAGCAAGGTTCTCAAACCACACCGCTACCTTTCCACGGGGGGCGTTTTGGACACCTGTGGGGGCGTTTTGAATGTCACAGAGATTGAGGTGTGCTACTAGCATTTAATAGAAGAGGGCCGAGAATGCAAAACTCTCTGCAGTATCCCACATCCTGTACAACTTTTGAATGTCCCGTTAGATATTCAGGTGGTGAGAAACCTGCTTATAATAAAATACACAGTAATACCTCTACCCTGTACAAAGTATTCAGTTTCCTAGGAATGCATCCATATTGCACATTGAGGGAAGACTATGTTTAATTCAGAACTTTACCAAGAGTTGTTCTTCGTTTTGGAAAATCATATCACAGATGGTAACACAGTTTCGAGTCACAAGTACAACATTCCCGCATCAGTTGCAATTGAACTGCCTAATTCACTGGAATGTGACCCACAGGGGCAAACAATGGACTATTTCATTATGTCTTCCAGGATAGTCATGCCTCAGTATTTGTATGCAGAAACACATGTTATTTTGTGTAAATTAGTTTTCTTCTCTTTTAAAAGTTACAATTAGAGCATATATTGATTCTTTTAAATGTACGTGCTTATGTAAGTTGTATTATCTATGAATTTTTTTTCAGGTTAACAAAGGGGGCTTTGCAAAATATTTGGCATAAAAAGGGAGTATTGGGTTAGGAACCACTAGATTAGTGTGAGAAAATGAAGAGACAGCCATTTGGCGAAACTGAGAATCTGCTTGGGCGCCCAGGAGGTAAGCTGAAGCATGAGTGGATGAGTGGCTGAAGAGAGCTCCACCAGGCTGAGACGGACTGCCCCCACCCCCCACAGCAGTGGCAGGGAGCCAAGGAGAAAGAACACAGGCGGACATGTTCTTGAGTCACCCCTCAGGAACCCCTTCTGAGTTGATGAGGAGGGACCTTGAAGGAAGGGCTGAGTTTGTGTGTGAGCAGGGGGGCCAAGAGAAGCTGATGTGAAACATGACCTCGCTTGCACCCACAGGCTTAGAGGCCTGGGATTGTCAATTACTCTGATCATGAATATTCTTCATCCAGATCAAAAACAGCCACCCTCAACCCTCTGGAAGACCAGCTCTGTTCTAAGGTCACTCTCACACAGAGCCTCAGGCCCATTCGCTCAGGCTGGATTAGAAATAGAGCTTCCCTAGGTGCCAATGTAAGATGCTACCACCCCTTAGGGGATAGAGCATGCACATGAAGGGAGAAATGAATTCAAGTGGCTCAAGGAGAGAAATGTTACAATGGATTTAGATGTGTGATCGAAACTAGATTGCGAAGGCCCTATGGTCAGAGTGCTGACGCAGCATGGAGGCTGCTCCTCCAAGGAGTCTGAGAAGCCAAATGGCAGAGTCCGAGGAGAAATGAAATAGATAGTAAAAGTGTGAAAGTGCTTTGAAAAATATAAAGTATCATCAAATGTATACTTCCAAAGCGCCCGTGTGTCAAGGTGTAAACATGCCATTGTACATAGATGTGAGCTGCTATGATGCTCCTAAGCCATCAGGTGGCTGGATGCACAGTGTGATGTGTTCGTCCAAGTAAATAAAGTGAGGTGAAGATTTAGCAGCCGAGTGGTCCTTCTACGTGAACAGACCCATGAGACAGGTCAGGCCCCCGAAACCCAGGATTTGAGTTCAGCCGAATCACAACAGTCGGTTGCTTTTGCCCAGGGCATGAGGAATCTGGGCAGACAGGAAAAATGCAAGTGGAAACAGGCCAGACAAGCAGCCTACAGCACTGTGGCCCCACCTGTACCCAGAGTTGAGTGCTCACTCACCCTGTTGTCTTCAGGAGTAGGAGGAAGAGGCTTCTTTGAAGCTGAAATGAGAAAAACAGCAAAAGAAAATGAACCTGAAACTGAATGTCCGCAACAGGGGGTGAGCAGTCAGGGGGCTTTTCAGCAGAAGAAAAGGGGCCAGAAGGAGATAGTGAGACACAGAGCAATGAATATCGGCCTTGTCAGAATCTCTGCTGTATCTTTCAACCTGCTGGTTCCCCATTTCATTTTCTAGGAGACACCAGGAATTTCCAGAAGCCAATATTCTGGGCCTCTTGTTCTGTGTTCCCAGGCAAAGCCTAATCCAAAGTTTGCTGACACAAGGGCTAGGCTTGTGTCCTTCCCAGTAGGCATAGAGACTTCCACAAAGGCACCTGCCACCAGCTAAGCCCAGGAGTGGGAATGGTTGACTCAGGGGAACAGTGACTCACTGGCTTCCTGATGCTGTTGTGGGCTTGAGGAGGGGGCGGGCGAGGGGGTGGTCACTGTGCTGCTTTTTGAGAAGCTGGAGTCACTTTTAGTTACTTTAACACCTCCCCCAAACAGCACGCCCGCCCCCATTTATCTCTTTGTGTCTCCAAGTTTCACGTCTCCTTCTCTTTACCTCTCCTATCTTCATTCCTTCTTTCCTTTCTTCTCTCTTCTTTCTCTTCGTTTTTCGCTTTCTTTTCATTTCTTCCACTTTTACTCAACCACCTCTGCTGCTTCCCAGACATGTACCTACATACCGTTATAGCTCAGCTTCACATTCTTTGTCCACGAATAAGAAAGACTAGCAGACACAATCGTCATTTATCGAGAGCTCCGTAAGTGCCAGCAGCCATGCTCAGAGCTTTCTACAACCCCATAAAGTGACTACTTATTATCATTGTCCCCATTTTACAGAAGAGGAAACTGGCTTAGAGCCTCAGAGTGGTTAAGTAACATATATGAAGTCACATAGCAAGGAAGTGATGGTGCTGGGACTCACCCTGAGGTTTTTTTGCTCTGTGCTCTTAGACCCAGCACTGTATGTGTGCCCCGCACCGGAACCCTAGAAGGCTTTGCCCAGAGCAAGTGATCACATGCTGTGTGCAGTGTGCAGTGTGCTTCTCACAACCTCTGCCTTCAGTTCTGCCAGCGGTAGTGCATGAGGTTATTTAAACCAAGTCAGAAAGAGGACGATGAGGATGTGGCCAGATGGGGAGATGGCTGCAGATGGCCACACAAAGGCAGGACCACTGGCAGTGACTGCACAGTGGGTAGGCCCTGGCTTCATGTGGGGAGGAGCTCAGCATGACCAGCCCTCCTGGGCATTGTCCTAGTGAGTCATTCAGACACTCCTCACGCCTCAGTCATGTATCTGCACTCGGTGGAGGGAAATACTGTGTGCCCCGAAGGGGAACCGCTGTGCCACGCATGGTGAAGACAGCAAAATGGAAATGCAAAATGCAAATTCAAAGAATTTCAAAACTGGAACGGGGCTTAGTGAATATTTCATGTTAGGGTCCCAAAAACATCCCCTAATATTTTAGAGGTATTTGAGATATTAGGATGTGTGATGGCCAAGTGACTCATTCAAGGGCCCACAGCAAGGTGCTGGCAGGAATTTGGAGACCAGATTTCTGACTTTGGGAGGGATTGTCACTCACTGAGGTCAGCCGATGCCATCCTGTCATTGTAGTGGATTCTCCCCACATAAAACCTTCCATTTCCTTTTCATTATGTACCTCTGGGGGTATGGTCAACAGGGTTAATGTGGAGGATTGGTGACTTCTAAAACTGAGTGAATATTATTCTCTGGGCCAAGGGACTGGTAACCTTAAACTTCCTCTTCCTAGGTGGAGGGCGAGAAGCAATAGTTTTTAAAGTAGTACTGAAGTTCCGTGGCTTCCTATGACTCAGGAAGCCACGGAAAATCCAGCCATGTGTTACATTTAGCACATCTGCCTTGGGTTGTCAATCTGAGGTTCTAGGTTTCAGTGCAAAAAAGAAACTGACAGATGAGAAAAGGTAACTAGGGTAAGAGAGGTTGAATGGAGAGGGGAATGGAAGCAAAACAACCCAGGTGATCCATCATTCCTATTCAAGAGTGGCTTTGCAGAGCATGTCCTAGCTGTGTGACCTCGAGCGTGCCGAACTGCTCAAGCCTTCTGTTTCTTTAACATCGCATGGTTGCGATGAATGGGAGCATAATGCACATCAAAGTGCATCAGAGTGGAACTGCACTTCATTGGGGGTTCAGGTCCCAAAGTCATCACATAAGGTGAAATAGAGTTGTATTCCAATCCCCAGGATCTGGGCCTTAGAGCTCAAAGGCCAAGAAACAATGTCTCTCATGTTCAGGCTGTAGTCTCTCCTTTTCTCTGAGATCGGGCAGGTCAACGGCAAGTTAGAAGAGGAGGTGAAAAAAAGCCACATTGCAAAATAAACAGTTGTTTTGGTTTTACTTTCTCCTCCCACCCTACTGAGTGTATAGAGTTGAACTTGTGTAATTAAACACCTGTGTGCTGTGATGACTCTGTGAAAAATAAATATTATATACCTCTTAAGGCTGTCCCTACAACTTAAGATTTAAGTGGACCATGCCATTCAAATTTCCTAGCTTGAAGGTTATAGCAGTGCTTCTCAAACATTACTGTGCACATGGATCTTCTGGAGATCTTGTTAAAATACAAATTCTAATCCAGTAGACCTGGAATGGGGCCAGAGAGTTTGCATTTCTAACTGGCTCCCACATGATGTCGATGCTGCTAGTCCAAGGACCACGCTTTGAGTAGCAAGAAGGTAAAAAGACATAAGTTTTGAGATGAGAAGAAAAAAAATCAACAGGCAGGTAGTAGAGGCAGATGATTCCCCTCTGAAAATTCTGAAAATGTAGAATTTTACATTCAATCTCTGACACAATTGATGATGGGAAGCTGAGAGCTTTTACTTTCTACTAGTAGAAAGGTCATTCGTTTTCCAAAGAAGAAAGGGGATTCTCAGTGTCTCACCATTCTTTGTTGGATCGTAGTGGGCACAGCCAACAGCAAGCTTCTCCAGCTGAGCACAGCACCTCCATCTCCCATCCATCCAGAAATTAGGATGATACTTGGGCACCAAACTGTTATTATTCCTTGTTTCTGAAAAGGGTTGGCACCAGGAGAAGAGTTATTTTCAGATCAATCGATCTAGGCCACCAAATTTCTAGCTCCTTGAAATTGGACCCAGCTGTGTGAGCTGGAGTGACTAGTACTCAGAATAGTCAGAAAAATGGCCCCTTTACTAAGAACACACATTCATGGTGGGGTGTGTGTTGGATTTAGGTGTCAGCAGATTCAGGCTCATGTCTGGCTTTGACTCAAGTTAGTTGTGTGTCCTTAAGTTGGGCAAAACCCTCACCTGAGCCTCGGTGTCCCCACTTTGCAATGAGATTATTAGATAGGGTTAGTGGACCTACAAAAGTGCCTTAGAGGTAATGGAAAGACTAAGTAAGTGAGATCCCCTCCTGCATCTCTCCCACCTTCAACCACAACAACTTTGCTTCTATCCCTTCTAGATCTGTGGTTTCAAAGTAAGATTATGGCAGGAAAAGAAAAAGAAAGAGACTCTCCTGCT